GTAATCTTATTGTAATATCAGGCCAGCTTTTAGTCACAAAATTAACCTTTAGGAGACCCTGTCTTATTGGGTCTTATGGGTCTAACCCAGAGTATTTTCTCATTTGATCTCTGAGCCTCTGCAAAAAGGCAGAAGGAATTTCCTCTTTTTCTTGTTGAATCTCAAAAGCCTTAGAAATATTCTGTGACCTCAGGGTAGATTCTTTAATCCCTTAATTATTAATTCTCTAAGGTTTTGCATGTGGGCCCTAACTCTAGGATCATTATTGTCCCATTTGGGAACTTTTGTTCCACAGATAGGACTCTCTGTCCAGGAGGGTGTCTCTCCCAGATGGACAGAGCCGCTCCCCTAATCATCCCCCTTTCTTCCCCTGTGAAAAGGATGTTCATTATGGACATCAGCTCGACCCAAGTGTAATAGCTGGGCCCTACTAATTGGTTGAGTTGTTCTGCTAGACCAAGGGGATCCTCTAATAATGATTTCATCTCCTTTTTAAAGTTTCTAACTTCAGTGCTCATGAGGGGGGTGTTCACGAACCCTATCTTGCCCCATGGGGACTTCCCTAAGGGGAAACATTTTAGAGATTTCCCTAGGAACCCCCAAAGGGAGGGGGAAATTCCCAAGATCTTTCGTACATTGTTCTAGTTCCCTCCTTAGACTAGGATATGGATCCACAGGGGCTGAGGGCTCAGTCTGAAACCTCAGCCCCTGCACAGGGGTGTGAACATTCGGCCTGCCCATAGTCCTCTGCCTCCCACTCTGTGAGGCATAAGGAGGAGGAAGACAGGACAAAGGATCCCAGGATTATGTTTCAGGGTCTTTCCTCTCAATTTTAAGAGGAAACATGGGAGTTGCTCCTGATAGCCAGCATAGAGCATAATCTTTTTTGTCCCAGAAGGATGGGAATTTATCATTAACACAGAGGACGAGGGCCTGACAGACCCAGTCCTTGTTTGAGCCAAACTGTGGCCAAAAAACTGAAGGGTTACGAATGGGTTCTTTGGTCCAAATAAAACAGCAGTACTTGATCATTTTCTGTTTTTCCTTATTCTTCATCCGGGAATTACTTTCTTAGTGTCTTAATATTTCCCCCAGTGGACTATATGAGGGGATGTTGGGAAGTATCTCCTTATTTCCTCCCTTCCTTGTTTTCCTAGGCCTAGAATTCTTATTTCCCATTTTCACCGATCCTTGTGTCTGAGTCTCCAAGGTACTCAACCCTCCTTGCTGGAGATTTCTGGCACATGTGAGGACTCCCTGAGGTACTCAACCCCCCCTTAACTGGAGGCTTCTTGCACACGTCAGGACCTGCTTTGTCTTTCTCCAGCCACGTCCCTCACGGGAAGACAGAACCACGGATCCAGACTCCACACTTGCTTTGTATCTAGGATACATCTCAGCCACACACATACACTCGGCTGCCGGAGACCAGCTCCAGTCGAGTTGTGGGTACCCAAAAATGGAGAGGGAGTCGGCGAAAATAACAAACAGACAGAGACCTCAATGCATCAGTATGCATGTCCTCTCTCTGCAGGCTGTCAGCATGTTGCAGCTGGAGCCCAGTAGAGCATGAGACGATGCCTTTTATTTAGATTTTTCTCTGCAGGGGGCTTTTGGGTATTATTTTTATTGTATCAGCAAGCTTAAATCAATAGTCCAAAAGCAGGGAGGAAACTTTTTTAGAGGTCAGCATGTCTTAGGTGATCAACTCATGCTTCTATTTCCTGGAATCAGGTTCATCAGATTCAAACCATCCCTTCATTGTCTTGAAGTTATCTTGTGACCTTTTTCTGTTAGCAAGCTGTGGTTAATATCCACCTTGTTAACAGGGTGGGAGTCAAATGTAAAAAGAACGGTGGATATTTGAGCAGCATTATCATGCACATTTTGAGGTTATGCATTTGCTGTGGCCCTGTAATCTTGATCTAAATGTCCTTGTGCACAGCACCATCTCTCACAAAACCAGTTACACTTTCTTATTTTTCTAAGATCTAATTTTGCAGGTTTAACAATTTTATATCATATATTTTTATCCCAACACCTGATTCTTAATGATTTATTTAAAACTGGACACCACCAAGTAAAGGGGGCTCTACAGTTTCGTTCCCATATACTTAATTTGTCCCAATCATATAATTTCTCATTAATACCAACCATTCTCTTGCCATTAATATAATCTCCAGTAAATGATGTTTGCCAACTTACATTAGGCTGCAGCTCATATTTAGTCATGAGCGGTGCTTTTGGAACATATGTTGGTGTGGTCAATTTATCATAAGGGAATAATTTTAAATTGTCCAATTTACTCGGATCCTCTGTGGGAATGTTTAGTTCAATGACCGTATAATAATTTGTGTTATTTTTATGATACTTTGGGAATTCAGAGAACTGCCACGCTAACCAAAATATTGAAAGAGAGAGTAAAAGCAGTACCATGAAGCCGA